AATGAGTAAAAACTTACAAAAACACCAACTATGTCGATGAAACGTTTCATTCATCTTGAATAAAAACCTTCTCAAAGCGAGCAAGTTCAGTGATGTCAAAGGTGAAAGGGTAAAGGAAGGGAGAGGTGGAGGCGGGAACAAATCAGGAAAGGGATGATGCATAGATGTGTGGAATGTTGCTGGTCATAGAGCAACGTTCTAATGGAGCAATGCATCCCAGAAATGACTTGAATAGACTAGTAGAATAATGTATAGCAGACCTGCTGTACTTTCGGCTTTTGCACAAGAGTAATGTAGTAAATATCTTGCTTTGTCGAACCAATAATGTAAAACTAATTTAGTGCTACATATCAACACAAAGGAAGAGCGGAAACAAGTGGAATATAATAACCATTTTATGCTTTTAAGACTGAACTTACATAGCAACTATTAAAATAGTTTCTCATCACATACATACTTACTTACTTACTAATGCTGATGTGCACATACACACTGAGCTCAGCATGCAGTGAACTCTCAGATAGGGGGATGTAGGTCAATGTCAGAGCAGTGTGTCACATGGCTTCGGCCTTTTTGTCTACTGCATCTGCACTATGCATCTGTTTAACTTTGTGTGGGGGGCTGAGAGTAGAATGTGAATCATTGCGATCATTTCTTTGAGATTTAACATCCAACATGGGACATTTGACTTTGACTGAATCCTTGTCAGTACTGCTGGCACTCTCTCTCTCTATTGTATATATGTTTAAATACACCATACATTGAAGAGTATTTGAGAGAGACCTTTACACAGGTCAGGTTATCTTCTCTCAGACTCTGAGTGGAAATGCGGAGGTGTAGCTAAACGTACAGCTCAACGTGTGTGTTGTCTGTAAGACTGGAGACATACTTGTGTGCCCTCGAATATTGTTACATGCTTGTCTTGCAACATTCGACCACCACTAAGCTGGAATGAAAGATGACTCTGTATTGACGACTGAATTACCTTTCAATATCTTTTCATTGCTTGCTCCCTATGAGTGGATTTGTTTTGTTTACGAATGCATTTTAAGTTGTGTGGACCACAAGTGATTTGTTTGTGGTTAAACTGCCATGAAGATGGATGGCGGCAAAGCGTTCCATCACTTCTGTTTAGCAAACAGGATGCAAACTCTTAATTACACTGTCCTCACATTCACATTGTTATTTTGAGACGTAAATTGTGTCTGGGAAGATAATACTAAGTCAGCTGCTTCGCCCTCTGCACTTTGTTAAATGAGCCTTAAATCAAAACCATCAGATGTTTTTATATTTACCTCCACCACCATTCACTGTAATGCCACTGCTCACAACCCGCAGGCTGACTGTAGCAGAGAGTCCTGTAAATAAATACAAATACAGCCCTGGAGGCGACCACATCAGTCCGAGCAGACAGACAGGGACAGGCCCTGGAGCTCAGAGCCAGGCAGGGGCTTCTGATCTGGGGCAGACACACAGTCTCTCTCCCACCCACTATCTGACTTCCAGGGGGAAGTAAACACATGAGCTCGGCTTCTTTACGCAGGATTCAACTAGTACATGTCGATCTCATCCTGTGTGGCGAGTGTCTGTGTACGACACTGAAAAGCTTGAACAGAATAATAACATGCTAGTAGGTGGTGGCTGTGGAGTCTCTGGAGGAGTGTGTGCTCCCTGTTAAAACTTGGAAATGCTGTTTAAATAACATGTTGGCAGAGGCACAACTTTTCCTGGTACACAAAGCAAAATGGGGCCGCACACACAATCACGTTGGAGACCATAGAAGCGTGTGTTTTCTGCGTTAGAGTTACTTACAGTACGCACAGAGCGTAAGCCCCGTTGACGCTCTCGCTGTCCCGCACCAGGAAGCTGCCGTCCCTCCCGGCCCGGGCGAGCAGCTCCTCGGCCGCGGCTCGACTCAGGTCCCGGTGATACCACATCGGCGGTGCGGGCCCCAACGGAGAAACAACCCCACCACCACCGCCGCCTCCCCCGGCCATGGCCACAGCCCTTCAACACCGGGTTCAACTCGAGCTGTTTCCCGACTTCTCCGGGAATAAACAACCAGAGCTCCCACTCCCAGCTCCGGACTCAGCGGACAGAGGCGGAAAACAGGCGCGGAAAAGTCGCTCTTCAGACGGCGGTCAGCTGGTAGCAGAGGCCGGGGGTTAAGTTGTAAAGTTGCGCTGCTTGCGGCTGGTTCCTCGGCTCCTGAAACTCCGCCACCCTCCTCCCTGAACTTCCCACTCCCACGGAAATCAGAGCAGTGAAGCCACAGAGCAGCCGCGGAGCTGCAGCGAGGGGCGACCCGCGTCACTACACATACACTGTCTGCAGCACCACTTCCGGGTAACAGCTTCAAAATAAGACGGGCTAACGTGGAAACTCACACCTAGACACTTTATTTTGGTGAAAACGTCACACAATGCTGACCTCCGGTTGTGTTTGTCCCCAGCTAGCTTGTAATAGCTGCATGGGAGGGAGGGATGAAGATACCGAGAGGAGGAAAGGAGGGATGGAGAGAGAGATAAGTAAAGAAGAGAAGAGAGAAGAGGAGTAATGGAAAGAAACTGCATTCATTCATCTCCTCTACGGTTTTGAGGTACTTTAATTTGAATATATTTTCCACTACAGAGACAAATATTTAACTTTTCCCTCCACTACCTTTTTTATGATTGCTTTAGTTATTTTTTTTGGAAGATTTGATTTTATATACTAAACAACTAATAACAAATACAACATTTCAATATTATGGTTTGTATACATGATGCAGAAATTACAATAATAATCCAGTAATAAAACACACAATAATACAACAATCTGACGGGGTCAGATCACTAGCACCGTTACTATTATTATTAATAGGAGTATTTTTACTTTTATTTTTGATTCTGTTAAAGGTCCAGTGTGTAAGATTTAGGTGAAAGGGATCTATTGGCAGAAATTTAATGTAGAATAATTCTCATGATGTTTTCACTAGTTCATTTCATCTAAATTGTATGAATTGTAGTTTTCTTTACCCCAGAAAAGCCCCTTTCTATTTAAATACTTTATATTTACATCGAGGGGACCCAGAGGCTGCCATGTTTGTTACATTAGTCCAGACTGGACAAACTAAACACCTTTTGAGTTATATGACAACTTAACTTTTGGAAGGAGAGGGTGAGGTGAGGGTTGTTCAGTTGCAACATGCAATTTCAACACTAGATATCACAAAATTCTATACACTGTACCTGTAATACTTTTGTACCTTTTATAACATTGTAAATGCATAGCTTCCACTTGTAACAACCCATATTTTTACTTTGTCTTTCATCACTAAGTATCTAATATTTCTTTCCTATACATCCATGAGTATTGGCCATTGAGAGTTTACTAGGGATTTTCATGAAAATGTATCCAATTTTCACCCAAATGGATAAAAGAAAAAGAACTGAAATACATTTTAGCTCCTGGTATACTTCATAGACTTGATGGAATTTATTACCTATAGGTTGCCTGTTTTATTTCCTCCCCACCCTCACAGCATCATGGCTCTAGTTGCAGCCGCAAACAAGGCCACGCTGCAGTGATTTCTCAACACAATCTGCACAATCCAATCCAATTATGCAATTATTTTCTTTTCCAGACCCCCCACACACACACACATGCACATGCACACACACGTGCACACACAAGGTGTAACTGTTCACCTAGAGGCAGGAAAGGGAAACCACAGAAAACAACCAACCCACTTTGGAGATCATTGCACTTTATTCGGACTTTGGCCATTCTTGTGTTTATTTTTTATACCTCTGGTTGCCCACAAAAAGTCAGAATTATAAAATGTGGTACACTTAAAGCAAAAAAGAGTTTAAAGTTAAAGTGGGAATGGGACAGAGTTGGACAGGGTGGTGTGTGTGCAGTCAATGACCTCAGAAAAGAGTATTAATAGCCACAGGGACAGCAGCCATCCCAAAGCTATTTCTGGCTATTGCATCACACTGTGTGTGTCTCTCTGTGTGTGAGTTCACTGTAAAAGTCTGTAAAAACAATATATCTTAACAATAAATGTGCATGCAGAGATGGTCAAAGTATGTTTGCAAGATGTCACGTAATGAAACTGCTTTGTCTGCAAAAATGAGCTTTAGGTTCTTGAGCATTTCATTCAGACTGGAGGAGCCAGGCATCGAACCACAGAGCCGCTGTCTCTTCTGCAGTAGTTCTATATCAGGCCATAGAAAATAGAAAGTTTTAAAGAAACTTTTTCAGAGGTGTCATCAGGAAGGATGTTAATTATCAGCCTCATAAGTAGAGCAGCAGTTTGACACGTCTAATATCTGTCAGAGGAGAAAAACATTTTCAAAAACATAAAGACATTGTCAGCTGCAATCGGTTACATCTTTTTAAAATATTAATCATCCAAGGGCCCTGATTATGAAACTACACAGTGCAGACACGTTGATAATATACTTTGTATCTGACATTAAGTCTTGTAGATACACACCCCAGCTGACCAATCACAAGGCTTAGTCAAAGACCTGTGAGAACACATTGACACGTGGCATTGGCACAAACACTCACACACAAACACACACACCACAAACCACACACAACCTAACCAAAAGTCATATCTAGCCCCAAATGTTAACCAGGAGCTCAGAGTTTTATTTCATTACCAGCCTTTGGTCCCCATGAGGTCTCCTGGTCCAGAGTTTATTCTGAAAAGGTCCTAAAGAGGTACCAAAATGAGTACACACACACACAAACACTCACACACACACACACACACACAGTGCTGACTGGAACCCCATAATTACCAGGCAGTGGAGCCCAGTGCTCAGTCACAGCGTAGAGAGACATTTTCCCTCAAAGCAGATCCTAGGTCAGTTTTACAGTTTCCTCACTGGTGGTTGAGGTTATAAAGGGGTTATTAAGCTGATCCATAGTCTGCACTTATATGAGTGATATCCTCCCAGAGCTTAGAGTATGTGGCCTTGTCCAGATGTATGAGTTTATTTTAGTTTTATTTTCTTTATCCACTTTATTTCTATTTTTCAAACATCTTGAGTTTTGACTGTGTTCACATTTTAGTGGTGAATGTGTGTGCATGCGAACACATGTACAACATATGAATACAACAGCTTTTACTTGTTGTGTACAAGCAGAAATAATCAAAGTGACATGGACACCTTGTCAGTGGTTGGCTAGACATAATGAATTGAAAAGAAGCACATGGGAACTAAACATCACAAAGAAAATAAAGCTGATGCAGATAAAGGATTTGAGAGAGATTACTGTGACTCAGAATGGGGCTAGAAACCAACAGAGACCTGGGATAATTCTAAAACAGTTTTATTGGAACCACTATGGTGACACATGACTGCATGATGTGGATATCATGTCAGTGCATCACTACAGAGAAAAGTGCAACAGCCAGGAAAAGCAACATTGACAAGGTGAAGCTCTTGTGCTGCTGTGCATTGTTAATGTAGTATTCAGCCACTTTCTTGTTGGGGTTCGGCCCAGTGAACCACAGCTGCATGCAGCGGCCCGAGGTTTTGGTGTCGGTGGTGTAAAGGTAGGACTTGGACCAGATTTGTTCACACATGGCCTTGGGTGTGGGGTAAACTTCAGTCCAGATTCTGCACTTGCTGTTTTTAGGGCATTTGTTATTACCTGCATTAGATAGAGAGATGATTTCATAAATGTATTAATAACCTTAATAACCATGAGTTCACAAATGAGTCTATGCATGGATGGGTTTTGTGTGCACATAGAGTTATTTGTGTTGTGTGTGTAAGACATGGGTAAATGTGTGTAAGGTAAACAAGTAAATGAACAAGTCTTTGTGTATGCAATGGTCTGTGCGCGTATGCATTTGTTTGTGTGTGTGTGTTTTGTCCTTGCCTGAGCTCCAGTCCCATCCCTTGTGCCAATCACTCTTGCAGGTGTAATCGTTCTTGCAGTCTTCCCACCAACTGTGGCAGTCCTCCATACACAGAGGCACATCCACAACACGTTCCTTACGCCAGGTCTGATTGACCTACACACACGAACACACACACACACAACTGACTAGTTTGTATGATCCAAATTTTAAGAAAACAGCTGCAATGCTATGACATGTAAGATGAGGTACTAAGGTCTCAACACTTTTACTACTGTAAAAGTTAACTTTAAAATTTATGTTTGAAGTATTATAAGTAAAGTTACTTGCTGAGTGTAGCCTATTCTTTAATGGTAAAGTCTACTTATCATCAAAAGCATTAAAAATGTGAACATGTTACGTCATGCTTTGTAAAAGTAAAAGTGAAAGAATATCTGAAAACATATTGACTTAAATAAAGTACATATACATGAAAAATGTACTCAAAGTACACTAATGAAGTAAATGTACTTGATTACATCCTGCCACTGATGGCATCACACTGTATATATGGATTTTAGATGTCCTGACAGCTCCCCTATAGTCCTCTCAAATTATAATGCTGCCATCTAGTGTTCTAAGTGCAGACACACAAGACTGAAGGCGCACAAAAGCACGGTACACACTTCTTGTATCCAGGGTCCCAAATGTGGCGAGCATTCGTGGAAGCAAGTGTCCTGGATGAAATGTTCCTTGCACCGTTTGCTCATAATACCGCAGTGATCCCAATTGAAGTTGTACAGGTAGGAGTCATCGTTGTGGGCCGCTGAGCTGGTATTGGCCGTACAACACGCATTGTCACGCCAGGGAGAGCACTGGAGAGGAAGAAGAGCAAAGAGGCTGTTGAGCCCAAAGCATCACAAACTAAATGTTTCTCCTGTCTTTGATTCAAATTTGCCACCTGTTCATAAAGGTCTCCCTCACGGCCCGGCTCTACTTTGTGGTGTTTGCCATCCATGCACATGTTGAGTTTGTCCAGAGACAGAGCGCCACTGCAGAGGGCCACCAGCAAGGAAAGGACAACCCACATGGTTCTGCAGAAGGGAGGCATCAATGTACATCAGTGATCATGACAAGAGGAAAACTAATGGGATAACGGACAATTTACAGAATCGGTCAAAAGTTTAATTCCACTGTCCCCAGACAGCTGATTAAAAATGTTCGAGGTCTTTTATTCTTATCCTTTCATGGTTTTGTGTTGTCCATTTGTTTATTTGTGTGATTCTAATTCACTGCTGATATACCTTGGAGTTTAAACCATGTCATTGCACCCTGTACACATGCATGACATCTGGGTTCACAAATTAACTTTATTTTACTGTTGAACTGGCCAGGCCTTAGTTCTATACCTAAATTACAACCTGAAGTACAGCAGCTTAAAACTGTTAAAAACAGTCACACAAATGAATTTGTCTCTCTCATTTAATAGCAATTTGTTTGTATTTCACCAATTCTACAATATCATAATACATGTTCTTATTTTCTAGTATGTTACAATAGGAACTTTAACCTTTTAAGTGGTAGATTCACATGACATGATTTGTGATGGTCTTTGACCCACTGAGTCAGTGGAATATGTTTTTACTTTTCAGGATCTGAAATTTGTAATACACATGTTTGTACTACTCTGTAACCTCTAATGGCAGCATAATAACAGTTTTATTTAGATATATTCAACCTACGTCTGAGCGTTTGCACTTTAAGTTAAAGTGTGAGATGGTCGCTTATTCTCTTTCTCCTTTCTATGTGACAAAGGATGGATATGAGAAAAATATAAAACTACTATAAAGACTACGTATATTTACAAATGCCCTAGTGCCAGTTAATGCAGCCTAAAAATTGACCTCATAATGTATGTAGCTGAAATCAGTCAGAGTTAAACATCCTCTATAATCCATGAATCCATTTTAGAAACACAACATACATGTCACACATGTAACACAGATTAATGAGAAAGTTAAGTCAGTATTAACAGAGTCACTTTACCTTGTTCGAGTGTGTAATGATTCCTTCCTGAAGGGATTATCCTACAAATTGGTGTCTGCAGTCACCTTTTACACACTTGACAAGACTAAACAAGATCAAGGCCGAAGACATTCATCTGTGTGAGTGTGGGTGAGCAGCGCATGACTGAGAGTAAGGTTGCCTCTATTAAGTAAAACATATTTCCAAAGTCCAAAGTCTGTCTCACAAACGTGCGTGTGTGTTCATGAATGTGTGTGTCTGTGTGTGGTAATCTGTGATTTATTGTATCTTCCAGCAAGGAGGGTTTGTCTTAACTCAAGGTCTATCCTTAAATGCACAACACACACACACACACACTCACACACACACACACACACTCTTACTTACACAGAAAGTGGCAGTGTGACCTGGGATGGTAATAATAAGAGCAGATGGTGGGCAATTAAGATAAGTTCCTACTGCCTGTTGGTGTTTCATGACTCATGAGTCTCATGACTCCACTGAAACATTTAACAAGAGTGTATGTACCTAGTGTAAAATAAGTGTATGTATATAGTGTGTGGTACAATTAAATAGGGGTTGTGTAGTTTCGATCTCACGTCCATCTGTTTTAATGGGCCCTAAGTGGGGTAAAAGTTGTCAACCTTACATTCCCTACACTGTGACGCTATTTGATAGAATGGATGAAAAGAATGGGATTTGATTATGTACAGTCTTCAGAGTTTTATATCAGCCCTTTCGACAGAAGACATGACAGGTCAAAGTAAGAAAAGCACAAATGGAAATGATAAAAATGAATGATAGCTGCGTTTCTTTTGTTTGGAATTTTAGTATTCATCTACATCCACATCTATTTGTATTTTTTTCAATTTGAAAGCACTTGTACTTAATCTTAAAGAGTCCTCTACAAATAAAAAAATGATGATTGATATTTAGCTGCTTCTGTGTCAGGGTCCATGTGAAGTGCACACCAGCTCACTACTAGTCTTACTGGGACACCTGAGCTGGAAAGAGACATTATTAATGCAAACTTGAGTTCATCCGATTATGGGATGTCAGAATGAATGCTGTGAAAAAGGCCTGTGTAGTTATTATAGGACAAAATACACACCTATTAGGTGAGGATCTTAAAATCTCTTAAATTTGATATGTTTGTGTGTTTATGTGACAGAATAAATCAGGATATGTAGAAGAGTTATTTAATATAATGTCAAATTTTCCTTTTCCCTTCTGTACTACTGCAATTCAAGCGGAACCTTTGCGAGGTCACACTGGGAGAGAGGACTCTTTAAAGCGGAACACCAAGGGCTTCCGGTCGATTCAGTTTGAATTTCTGAGAAGCTGCGGCGAGAGACTGTCAGGTATTTAACTTCGATCTGAAACTGCTCATAACATTGTGATTTATCCAGGAATAGTAGCGGTTAAGTTTTCATTTTACTTCATAGTGGTTTTGTTTCCCCACAGGAAGAGTTTAAATCCTCGGTGTTACATTATCTCACCGTGTTCCTCCAGGAGCGTTGTGTCGTTTTAATCTGTTTATGTTCACAGAGAACCAGACAAATGTCTTGTGGCTACATTTCTGTTGGGCACCACCGAGGTTTCACGCCTTGTGTCTCGGCTAAAGAAGCAACATATTCCCCCTGTACACGCTACGAGCAGATTAGGCTGTTATTAATATTGTTGTTGTTGTTCCTGTTGTTCCTGTGTGACAGACATGTCCACGCTGTTCCCCTCTCTCTTCCCCCGGATCACCGAGACTCTGTGGTTCAACTTGGACCGACCCTGCGTGGATGAGACCGAGCTGCACCAGCAGGAACAGCAGCACCAAACTTGGGTAAACGACACACACACACACACGCGCGCGCACACACAAACGCACTCTGACAGGATGAACCCCCTCTTTGCGTGGAATGTGTGACTGTACTTGTTGCATTCAACATCACCTCGTCATCTCTGTGTGTGAGAATCTTAACCTTAAAATTAGTGCACGGTGCCAGTTTGCCTACATACCTCCAGCAACAGACTGATTCACTCTGTGTCTGACGGAGAGGTGTCTCAGGTCACTCTTCCTGCAGCAGTAAAACTACAACCAGCTCTGCTCCCAGTAGAACTACACCCATATGGACAAGTATTGCATGTTACTTATTATTTCTTACTGATGCCTACTTTTGATTCTTGCTGCTGTAATATTACACATTTCCCCATTGTGGGACTAATAAAGTATTATCTTCACTACCAGTTGTGTAATTCAGGGATAAAACAGCTAGATCAACAAAGAACATCAAGTTTCAGTCAGAGAGTAAAAACCACATCACTTTGAGTGGAAAGTTACATGTTAGAATTTAAAATGAAATGATTTAATAATAAACTAGTGTCACCATGAGGTGAAAGACATGACATGACATCAGGCAGGGCCTCAACTAAAGAAATAAATGGACAGGGGAGAAATCCGAGAAGTATATTTACAAAGCTGGACAATTTACAGTTGCAAAATAAAGAGCAGTTCTCCGAACCTCAACTGGGACACTGTCTGTACAATTTCTCATGTCCTTGTCAACTTTGCGCATCCATTTTGTTGGTTGTCATACATGTACTAATGGGTACTGCATATGCTAGTTTCTAAGTCAGGCTCTAATGTATGTGTGTGTGTGTGTGTGTTTTTTCTTGTAGTTGCAGAGCATTGCAGAGAAGGACAACAACTTGATGCCGATTGGGAAACCTATTTTTGAGGTACGACATTTTTGAACATGTATTAGAATAATGGCCAAAGTAAAGATAACCACATCTCAACAGATGAATTGAAGTAAAGCTCAGACAACTGATTTGCTGCTGTATGAAACAGAGACTGGTTACATTATTCCATATTCTCTACAACAAAAAAGGTTGTCATTTTAACACCTGAAACAGATTTCTTCTATTTGCCTGTTCAGAAATCTTCTGCCCTTTTTTGTTTGTGCTCTTCATCTATTTATGCCGTCTGCATTTACTGGGCTCAGGCAGGATATGAAGAGGAGGACGAGGAGGATGACGAGGATGAGGAAGACAGTGAGGAAGACTCTGAAGATGAAGAAGACATGCAGGACATGGATGAGATGAATGATTACAATGAGTCACCTGATGATGGCGAGATCAACGAGGTGCTTTGATATATCATTTATTGGACATCTTTTCAAATTAAAAGCGCTAAATTCACTGAAATGACTTTAAGACATACTACAGTGTTGTTTTCTTTTTAACCTTACTTTCGGCTCCTCAAACAAAGAAACACCAGTGTGTAATCTGGCTCTGCTTCTGTCTGTCAGGTGGACATGGAGGGAGCAGACCAAGACCAAGACCAATGGATGATATAAGACAAAAGATGGTTTTACTTTCCATCAGACTGATGTCTGTCTGGCTCTGGATTTCTGCTCCCCTCTTAAAGCCATGACTGCTGCTTCTTGTACCATGATATCCTTCAGATGAGGGTTGGGTAAATCCAGCACAAGGGTCTCATGTAGAGCTGCTGTCAGCCTCAGAGCCTCGGGATGTCGTTGGACTTTGGTCAGAGTGTCGCTCACAAGTTGTATAAAATGAAACAATAGATGTAAGTTTGAGCACATGTCAGGTTTTTGTCAGCATTTTCTGTGAACCTGTCAAAGCCGTTTCACACATATTTGATGCCGTAAAACACTCAAGGTCCTACTGTTCAGTAACCAGTCTGGCACTTATAGTGGCATGATGTCATCCCAGTACAGTGACACTTTGATCTCATCATATCTTGTGTCTCATGTGTCTCAGAGTCTCTGCACAGCTGACAGAGCACAAACTACAGTTCACTCAGCAAAATAATATTTCACCACAGAGTTCAATTCTGTCACACCGTTGTTTATATCATGCTTTTAGTTAAAGTGTAAAAGATGTTTATTTAATTTTTTATCCTTTTATGTCCTCTTTTATGTATACATACGCTGGCCATCCAAGTTGTCTCATGTTTCTCTTTAAGGATCGTTAACCAAGGCTTTCCTTGTTGATATTGAAATGAAGGCCATGACAGTTTGTAATAAATTAACTTATTTTGACGAAATTTTGATGAACTTTTTTTTTAAAATTAGTTTTTAACACTTTAGTTGGTTATTAATAAATAACATCAAACAATAGTGGTGTGTGTGTGAGTGTGAGTAAGTTGAATGAATGTCCAGTGAGATAAAAATCAGAACTAGTACTGTTAAAGAATTATAATCTGGATTTGATGTTGACAAAATGTATAGTTTCAGTGGTGCTGATTTCCAGAGTTTATTTCATTTCATTGAACAGTTATTGACGGTTACATTTACCATCAACCTTTTCAGTAAAAAATGTACAGCTATCTTTACTATCGCAATTATCACATCAGGTACACCATCATCACTTCATCCCTTCCCTCTCCAAAATATGCATCCATTTCCCACTCTGCATCATTTACTTGATTCCCTGGTAGACTAGCTCAGCCATGCCATCCCTGATGCCTTTGCTGTACTCCAGCGTGGCCCGGTGGATCTTCCACTCATAAAGGCCGCTCTTACGAATGTGTCTGAGGAACTTTGGCGCCCCGGGAAACAGCACGTTGTCTGCCACGATCATAGACCCTTTCCCCAGCAGACCAGAGCCCTCCAGCATCTGTAACACACACACACAGTATCATGTAACTGTGGGAGTTGACTAGGTAACACAACTTTAATCTACTTTAATAGTATTGTGGCTTCTGCAAACTTAATGTGAATATTCATCTTCTGTAGTTTAATATTCAACATGTATATACACAACATATTGGCTGTTTTTCCTTCCAGCCAGTCATTGTTTAAAGGTACAGTGTGTAGAATTTAGTGACATCTAGTGTTGAAGTTGCATGTGGGGTCACCTCACCCTCTCCTTCCAAACATGAAAAAGAAACTGTGGCAACCAAAAAAACTTGGCGGCCTCTGTAGTGAGGACCCCCTTGGTGTAAATATGAAGTATTTAAATATAAAAGGCCTTTTCTGGGGTAAAGGAAACTACAAATGTATAAAATTTTGATAAAATGAACTAGTGAAAACATGAGGATTATTCTACATTCAATTCCTGCCAATAGATCCCTTTCACCTAAATGTTACACACTGGACCTTTAAGTAAAAGAGAAATTAGTCAGAGATAAATCCCATTTTTTTCCAAGTCAGTCTGCCAGAGAGGAAAATAAACAAAGAGACAGGACTTTGTTCATAATTTTTTTTCCTTTCTAATGATTTATGATCATGACCTGCAGATCAGGGCAGTAGGATTTCTTCCAATGGTCCATGAAGACAAAATCCAGACGTTCCAAACCGTAGTCAGACCGCAGCCGAGGGATGACTTCATCTGATGGATTCACAATGAGCTCCACCTTGAGAACACACAGCATGAATGGGTCAGTGATGTAGTACTTTCCATATTAAATATGAAATTACACAAACAAGTAAAGGTGATGGCCTGTATCAAGGTCATCTTAAGCTTTTGTGACAAGGCCTTCAGTACACTGAGTGCATTGATACACTGACATGCTGTAAATAGGTCATATATTTCTGCTGCCTCACTGTGTCGTCATCAAACCCTGCTAAGCGGATGATTTTCTCTGCGATGGCAGCATTCCTCTGGTCCATCTCGATGCTGTAGAGCCTGGCACCCAGGGGCAGAGCTCGGGCGATCCGCACGGTGCTGTACCCGCAGTGGGCACCCAGCTCCAGCACGGTCAAAGGACTCTGCTCCATCAGCAGCCGGTCCAGGACCTTCCCTGGAACAAAAAAACCTACATCAGCAAAATGATTACTCTTAAAGCATGTTTTAATAAACAAATGTTCTTCCGTCACCTTTTTTAGGCCCGATGTTGCTGATGAACTCCACCTTGCTGCACCAGACGTCGAAGGCATCCAGGATGCTATCAGGGTCTCCGGGGGTGGCATTAGTAAGAACGTACTGGTAGGCCCGCTCCTCTCGACTCAGACCAGTCACACAGTCCTTCCACATCCTGACCAGGATGGCCCGATAGAACAGCACAAAGTAGAAACGGTACCTGATGAGCAGTGTCAGCAGGAGGGGGATGAAGGCCAAGGCGATGGCAGGAGACACCATCCTAACTCACAGAGAGAAAAACACACACACAGAAGTGGGTTCATAAAACACTAACATGATAAAGAAGTTCTAGTAGTACCCCTAATTCACTGAAGGCCTGTGTTTCATACAGAATCTATATGTTACCTCTGCTACCTTGTATAAAAATATAACTGAAGTTTCATTCTCGGTAGAAGCTTGACATTGGAAATATCCAAAATGTATTATCACAATTTATCTGCAAATTTGTTTGGTTTAGATCAGAACAATCATAATCACTAAAAGATCTTTCATTAATGCAAGAAATATAATTATTATAACACAATTATATACTTTTGGCTATTGTAAGACCATGTTAGATTGAGTGACAGTCTCATTATAGTGTAATGTTTAAGAAAAGCATTTTGAGAGCATTGCTCTCTAAGTCTAAATTACAGGAGATGAGATCTACACATAAAGAAGCGACCACGCTTCAGTTGTGCAGTGAACGTGCTGCCTCTCCTCGACTCTGCCTCAGGTAACTGAAGACTCCACACAGAACAGATGCTGTATCAATATATTTGCTTCATCATGAACTGTGTCTCGTTGTCTCATAAAAAACAGACAAACTCACCTGGTTTCTAACAAGCTCGGTGGAAGCTGCACTGAGGTTAGCAGAGAGGAGCGTGGCGCTGGTGCAAGTGCAGAATGACAGAGAAGTGTGTGTGTGTGTGTGTGTGTAAGAGAAGGTAAGAGACCTGAGGGTATAAATAATTTATGTATCATGTGCATGACTGTATATGTCCTGTAATTAGGTACAGATAACAGCTGTTAGAGCCGGTGTCAGTGTTCGCTCTTAAACATCGGTTTTCATTTTTTTCGATAAGACACATTTGGCTTCTTCAGTTGAATAAAGCCGACACAGTTTAACAGAGACGGTGAGAAAGAGGGAGGCAGCGTGAAACAGACATTTGATCCATCAAGTAAACATCAACAGGTGTGTGGTCAACTGGAGTCCAATTTCTTTTGCTGAGTCATGATGGAAAGTTAAAGAAAAATGACTCAAACACAAAGAAAAGACAAATTTATGGACTAATGCCTAATGTGATCCAATATTTTTTTATTTAAAGCTTATTTAGATTAATAAAAATCCTCCAAATTTAAAAGTAAAAGCAGTGACAGATTTGTGTTAATATGAATAAAATTAAATGCTAAAATAGACACCAAACCCAAATTTAAATGATTTATTGTTCCCATCACACTGTCCTGCCTGTATTTTCAGTGCTTCTCATATTGTGACCTGAGTTTAAAGCATCCCAACATGATAAAACCCCATTTGTCTTTCTGCTGCAGTGAAACAAATTATAAAATAAGAGTCAAAACATACTTGAGTATAAAATTATTACATTGTTGTGATAGTATAGGTAGTACAGTGTAAAAAAAACTATTTTAACATTACAGAAGTAGCAGTTACACTGCTACACCTTGTGTATGATGAATAGAAAACGTAATGAGATCTGTCTTGTACCAAAACCCTTTGGTCTCTTCTATATACACAAATTTACACAAAAATACAAGAAAAAATACACACATTTTAGAATTTAAGGGGACTGTTGGGCCTCTGCAGAGGGTTGCTCTCTACTGAGTGCCATTCTAGTTGATTATGTGACTCGTAGCATAATAACAATTCATCAAGAAAGTAGCCTGTATGCACATTTACGGATGTCTACGAACTTTCAACACTGTTTTATTTACATGTTTTCTATAAACCTGTTCTTAAGTTATGTTATTTAGGAACTATAGCCTCTGCCAAGGAGGTATAGTTTGTTTCATTTCAGCAGGATTAAGAAAAGAAAAATTTCAACATGAAAATGGGACATGGGCCAAAAAAGGAACCTTTTAAATTCTGATTGAAGGGAGACAGACATTGATGAGTGAGTATAATTTGATGCAGATCCAAATAAAAATCTGGATCTAGTGGACCTAACTGTGGTTTCATCAGGTGTTTTTTTTCCGGTAACAAATATGTCTAGAAACCTTTAATATTCAATGTGTATCTGAGATAATATGGATTCAGTCAGTAATCCACAGATTAAATGCATCTTTAATGGTTTTAAAGTAGTCTAAACGAATATGACAGATTTGGTGCGGAACTGACTCTACAGCTCAGGACAGGACTGTTTGAGGAGAGCTCTGATAAACTTCTTCAACTCCTTGTCCCCTTTGGTCCACCTCACCAGCCGAGTCAGCACCAGCCTTCCCTCCTCAGCCTGAGACAGGGCCAGGTACCATCCACCTTCCTTCCCTCCTTTAGCTTGTCCTTTATCCATCTGTTCCTCTTCTACCTGCTGGTCTTGGTTTGTTCCTGCAGAATCTAAGCCAGGACACGTACAGGTGCCTCCTTCTTGCAACCACAAAGCATTGTGTGCCATGGCACCTCCGACCCCTTCTGCCCTCTCCGCTCCTCCCCCTGCCCACCTCAGGATGCGGCTGCGGGCCGTCGGCACCAGCTGACGGTCCCCTCCCACCGTCGACACACTGCCCAGACGCATCTTAAACGCTGCGACAGAGACAGAGAGGGTTCAGTTCAACAGGTGGGATTTCAGACACATTGTAAAACCAACTCTGTGAGTAGATCATCTGTTTCATGAAAAGTTTATGCTATGGGATTCATTTTGTAATCTACATCTGTTTATTCTCACCAAATGGACTGTGGCAGAAGTTTTCCTGGATGTCTGTTTCTCCTTCAGCAGCCAGACTACAGGCGTCACAGATAACACTCCCTGGGGAATTGATAAGAGAGATTAGATAAGTGATGAGAGCATCTGCAGTAGGGATGTAATGGTGGGGTGGAACAGCTGCCTCTGAGCAGAAACTGCACGATCACTTCACGCAAAACAACCTTAAGCGAAATAAGATTGGCTTAAACTGTGATCTCCATAATTTTAAGAAACTGGAATACTTAAAAAAAGCTTCATGCAATATACAAATCACAATACTTTATTTAGCCCACAACTATGCATGATTTCCACTAAAGCCTGACTGAATTAATTACAGTGGATGATACAGATAAATCAGTATAGTTGAAAAAACATATGACATTGGTGAATAAAGAATTGTGACCAGGAAATCTTTAACAAACTGACATTTCTTGCTACTTATCAGCAGAAATAAGCTCTGACATGTTTGGGATGAAGTGCTGGCTAATGATATGATGGCTAATATGGCTCACACTGTAATTTGTGCATTGGGCAAAAATATGCATGGCCTGCAGGGGTAATAAAATAATTGTGTGGTGCTCTTGTAGAGTGGAAAAGTACACATTTCCACAATCCCAAGAATTTAACTCACATTTTTGGGGGAAATATTTGATAATTAATAAAAGTTATTTAAGTGAAAAGTACAACTAGAAGCTTAGTTGAGGTGATTCTGCAACTATTCAGAATAACTGATAAAACTTATAAACCATTATGAGAAATTGCCAAATACTTGTTCCGGCTTCTCTTGTGTTAATTCATTCACGTTTGATTTTAAGAAGTTGTGATGAGCATTTTTCATATCTGGTTGCAGCCCTACTTTAAGTCGCTAGAAGAGATGAATCGATTCTAGACAATAATCAAAGACGGATCTACTTTAGTCAGTAGAAAGTACCACCGTCCATCACTGACCTTTCAGCGCCTCCTCGTGCTTCACCTCCTCCTCGGTCCGCCCCTCGCGCTCTCCGGTTGCCGGGATACACAGCTCGGTCGCGCGCGGGAACCGGCTGCAGTTGAACATCTCGGGCCACGGGAACCCGAACGCGCTCATCACGGGCACGCAGCCGTCACGCACGGCCTCGCACAGGCTCCTGCAGGGGCTGACGGGCCCGGAGAGCTCCGGCAGACACACCGGGGCGAACAGCGAGCACAGGAACTTCTTGGTGTCCTTGTGGCACAGCTTGGAGACGAGCGGCAGCCAGGCCGCCGACTGCTGCTGGGCCTCCCGCAGCGAGTCGTGGCCCAGCAGGTTGGGGACCCGCATGTGCCTGTAGCCGATCCCGTGGCACAGAGACAGGGTGCTGGGGATGGGTTTACACACCGAGCGCACCGACGAGCTGAAGCCGAGAGACGGCGGCCCCAGCTGGACTGGAACCACGGTGTCAGAGGCTCCACAGAGCACAACGAGGCTGAGCAGCAAGACACTCATGTTGGTTGATCCGCAGAGACAAGAGGGAGGTCTGAGGAGCTGCTCCTCCGTCTGTCGGGACTTGATCGGCCTGTAGGTGTAAACAAAGAGGTGTGGAGGAAACGGGGGGTAAATGAGAGGGCAGGCGCCTCCCAGTCATCATCACCCCGGCCCATCAGACTGGCGTCTGCCTCCACACCTCACTGCACTCAGCCGGGCACACTGTGTTTCTGCAGTCATGTTAGGTAAACTGCAAACGGTGCTACACATGGAGCAGTGCAGAGCAGAGTGCAGACATAATCCTCACTTTGTCCCGTATGGACAAATGTTCCAGACCCTTCATGTTTAAAACAAGCCACTCTGTCTCCACTAGGCCATAAACTGACATCTGCAAGAGAGAAATGTAGAGACTTTTCTTATTCTGGATAAGATAAGATCAGATAACTAAGACAAGATAATATAAAACAGGATAAGAGTAGATTAAATGAGATGAGGTCAGACAGGATAAGATAAAATAAGGTGAGATAGTCCTTCATTAGGTAATAGTGAAATACACACTCAGCATAGGTAACAAATAAGTAAAACAATATATATATATAAACACATTGAACTACAAAAAATAGAAATATGTTCAATGTTAACAAAATACATTCAGTGTAACAGTATTGCAAATATATGATATGAGGATATTAACACAGACAGATGGATAGATACTTTATTGTTCTCAAAGGAAAGTTAGACATCCAGTAACTTAAAACACATTAAGGACAAGGAAATCACTCAAGAGGAGTAAAAGTTTGTGTCTATTATTTCCATAGTATGTTGTGATGAAACACACACGCAAAAGTGCAACTTAACACTGTGTTGCTCTTGATCCATCTTTTTAATTTATGCTTACGTCAACACTTACCCTGAATTTAATTTAATTCTTTAAGGCTGTGGTGGTCGTAGAGTGTCTTTGTGCATAGAGAATAGTTAATTCTTGATTAACAGTCAAGCATTGACAGCGTTGACAATAGGACAGTGTTTCTGTGTTTTGAAAAACCTTACCTGCAGCATTGTGACATTATGGAATGGAAATGAAGTGCATCTGCAGCAGTATGTGTGCTGCTCTGTCATCATCCTCAGCCGGAGGGTGTCGCAGACGCTTTCATCTTTTTCAATGGAGACTGCCACATGTGCAGCAACAAGCCTCATCCTGTTGCCCTCACCCCTCTGCTGCTGTCTAATTCATCTTGCTCAGTCGTGTAGCCTATTATTAATTTAGACAGCTCGCATTTGATCAAGTATTTTCAATGTGTTTTCCTGTCACTGAAGTTTTTGTCTGGCTCCTATGAAGTACAATGTCATTTCCTAGCTCCCAAGTACAGTGCAAAGGATCCAGATCCCATGACTCGTGCGTTTTCAATAGTTTGCAGTAGTTTCATTTAACCCAACTTGGTTTGGGATCATGCACATTACGAACAAAAATACCAACAGTTTTTGAAGGTTGAGTTTGTAGCATTTAGTCCAGAAGTTGCAAGATGAATTCCCCCTGCCCCACCTTCCCCTTTCAGAGTCAGGCAGAATCTGCAGTGGCTTCAGCTATAAAGAGCCAGTGTTTGGTTTGTCTCCTTTGGGCTACTGTAGAAACATATAAGTGACTCGTTTTAAGGTTATGTAAAAACACAATTAACAATTTTTATTTTAGGTGATTATGCACTAATGGAAACATATAGGAATATCATATTACATTTCTGTTGATAGATCTACTTCAATTCTTCTTCTTGACCTTTAACATTATATGCAGCCTAAAATACTTGCATTGTAAAGATGGCTGAGGGGCTGAGGATAAATCCATAATATGAAATATAAGAATGTACAAACATTTATATTAGTTTAAAGCTCAATAATTCAATAACATGTACTAATCAATCATCACTTCTTCAATATAATTCCAGGCAGGCTGTAAATACTGTATAGACATGCAGACATGCACATGCTGTAAATAACATTGTATATATCCTGTGTAAATTGTATATATATATATATATATATATCACTGCTATTTTCTCTTTTTATATTTCCTGTATTTGTGTGTTTACTTATTTATTATTGCTTTTAAACTGATTATTTCTATATTTGCTATCCTCTTTGCAGCTGTAGCTTTTTTCAAATGTCCTCATTGTAGGACTAATAAAGAATTGTCTTATCTTAACCACCAACTGTATGGATATGAACTAACATAACAATAACCACTTTGTGCTTCTCCATACCTGTTTTTTTCTTTAACTATGACCTGTATCTGTATCTTTTTATTTTATATTTCACTTACTTGCTTTTACATAATGTTAATATCATATATTTAACTTTTAACTGTCTCCATGTATCCTTGTATGCAGGACACAGATACAAATATACCAGGGAAATAGTTCTCTATATATGGGGAAATGAAAACTTGTGTGGTTTTGACAGTTCTGCAGTCTCCAGGAAATCTGCTGCCATTTGTCACTTGGAGCTGGGATGTTTGAGTGTTTTTGTTTTTCCAGTATTGGTTATAGAAGATGATTGTAGTTTGGCATTTCCAGAAGACGACGAGGGATGGCGAGTTTTTAGAGGAGCTGGATCAGTTTGTCACACTGAATGGTGTCAGCAGCAGAGCTCTGGCTTCATTCAAACCAACCTAAATAGAGAGTTAGTTTGGTTACATGTTGGTAGAGGGGAGAAGGCTATTTCCTGGAGTCATTATAAACTCTTCTGGTAACAAACTCTCAGAACTACCAGTAGAAATATTCACTCATTCATTTTGGGCCTGAACCAGTTACCAAATCAATGTAACAGACGTTTCTCTCCACGCATTTAAGCAGTTTTTTCACAAAAGCCCCTGGATCTTGATCATATTTAATTTTTTATTGACTTCCTCTATTTATTTATTTACTTACCAACCCTCACGTTTGAATTCCATCCCCCTCACGTGACGAAGGCCAGAGCCGCTTCTCCACAACCGGAAGTGTCGCTAGTTGTTGTTGCACCACCTCCGCTGTCATGTGATAGCTCGTCTGCTGTTGACAGTGGGTCTCCTACCTCTGGATGAAGCTCGAACAGAGTCACGCCGTGGAGAAGTTTTATGTTTCCTGAGGAGGAGAAGTCACGGCTCGTTTCTGACGGAGAACAGCGGAGCTGGGCTTGTGTCGCTTCGGCCCTCGGACGCTGCCATGGGTTGCTGTTACAGCAGCGAGAACGAGACCACAGAGCAGGTAGCTGTTAGCCGCTAGCTGGCTAACACTGTCCCGATACATAAGGGATAGGTCATCAAGAAACACTGTGTGTGATGTTATAGTGTTCATCGAATATGGTTCGTTAATAAAGGTCATTGTTAGAGAAGGCGTCCAGGTTTTTAAATAACCTTCCGTTGTGTTGGTTGAAGGGATATGTGACCGTAAAATCGGACTTAGCTAACTAGCCCAAGTCTTCGGGTATGGCCTGGTGCTAAGCAGCTTCAGAAGTTGGCAGCTAAGAAGAAGAATAATCCTAGATGAAGAAGATCTATAGATCTGACTGTGTAGAATAAAACTATACACATGGCAACTAGTTTTCTGTACGAGGTGAACAACATGGCAGATAATGACTGTGTGAAAGCTATTTGGACAGGGAAGTAGTGATTTACCACGAAATGACTGAACACCCAGTTGTGACATGAAGATGCACACTGACAACAGAAGCGACTGGTGTTCAGGGTGTCATGTTGGTTTATGTTCCATCCATTGCTATTTTTAATTCAAGGAAACATTTCATGGTTTTCCCTAATGCCGAATAGTTTCCTCATTTTCAGTTGCAGGAGCACAGTGGAAACTGGAAACACTCACACTAGTCTGTAATTCTATTTCTATTTGTCTGGAAATTAAGTTTGCCTCACCAAAATTTGTTTGTTCGGATCTGAGTGAACTTGATTAGTTCTAGTGATCTAGTTAGAACTCCCAGTATCACTTAGTGTATGAAAACTTTAGTAGTTTTTCATTCCTAGTCCTATATAGAGAGGGTGAGTGGTTGTGTAAGTTGTTTCATGTTAAAATGTCATGTCTAATGCTCTAGGACCCTGAACGCAAGCCGTTGATCCCCCACCCCAACCCAGTCAGCAAACCCCCAAATGGGACAGACTGGATCCCCACCAATGTCCCCTCAGCCCGGACAGATGAACAGGCCCTCCTTACATCCATCCTCCATAAGACGGCACAGTAAGATTCTCATTTATGCAACCACAGATGAGTTAAATTCAATGTGTCCCCTGATAATAAAAATGTAAATCATCTGGTCCTTTCATAAACCTGCTGTTGTTTCCTCTCTGTCAGGAACATCATCGATGTCTCAGCAGCTGACTCTGTCATGATGGAGCAGCATGAATACATGGACAAAGCTCGGCAATACAGGTACGAGGGTGGGCAGCTGGGTCATAGTTGTTTTGGATGGTTGTTGCACTTCTGCAGTGTTTTTCTGTATGTGAGAAGGGTGTGGATGGCTTCAAGTAAATTAGAGCCATATCATCACAAGATTCTAAGTTTACAAGATATTGAGCTTCTCGCTGTGTTACAGCTGATATATGAACTTGCTGAGATGCTTTTAGGAGCTTGCGAATTTGGTTGTATCTCACCAAATGAAGGACTGCAATGAAAATAAATCTTAAACTTAAACTTAAACTTATTGGGACTTTAAGATAATTTCAGTAGTAGTAGTTGGTGCAACAGCTCTACAGTATATCCAGAAGCATATAACGGTTTGTTGGTACACGTGTTGAGGGTAGAAAAAAAACCATGTTGCAAATGGTGTCTTACTTCCACATAAATCCAACTGCTCAAGAAGTTGATGAGGGAAGTGATTTAACCCAAAAATTGCATTTCCCCTTAAGTATCATGTTATACCTCAGATCCAGTGACACCTAGTGGTAGTTGGATGATTTGTACCAAACATTTCAGCTATGTTTACGCTATAATACAGGTTCAGATTAAACAGGGCCTCAGGACACCAATCAGGTTTAAAAGACAAGGTGAAGTGTTTGATTGTGTTTTAAATAAACTCTAAACAGCAACTCAACAGCCCCCGTAAGCTTCTACTGTTCTGCTTTTTCTTTTTTGTTTTCAGTACGAAGCTGGCTGTGTTGAGCAACAGTCTGTCCCAGAAGAAAGCCCTCACTCTGCCCTCCCTCACCAGCCAGCCCCACCAAGTGCTTGCTAGTGACCTGGTGCCATATTCAGATGTTCAGCAGGTAATCATACTCTGTAGCACCCACAGATGTTTGGTGGCATTTGTTTCCAGCACTCGCATTTCTCCTTGAAATGTTTTACACATCCCTGTCGGGTGCATCAATCATCAGAGAAATCCCCCTTTGCAAACAGTGTGCAAGAAGTACCACTGTGCCACATTTTAGTGTGAAGGGGTGTGACTAAATGTGTGGCTTGAAATAGATCTTAATGTTATCTAATGCTATTCTGTTGCTGCTATTGTTGTGCTCCCTTTTATTATGTTGATCTGATGTTGGACTTGATCTTACTTTTCTCCTTGAAACTGTGAATTTGAGCTTTTTTGTTGGCACACTCATGAACTCCGGCTTCCTCTTTCTTTGCAGGTATCCAAGATCGCAGCCTATGCTTACAGTGCAATCTCTCAGATCAAAGTGGATGCTAAAGAAGAACTGGTGGTCCAGTTTGCCATTCCCTGATTCTGCGACTCTGGCCTGCATTTTTGTTCCTCCCATCCCGCCCTCTCTGTGTCACTCCTGCATCCTCATCCTTTTATTAAAGCATCTTGGTCCTTGTGCTCTTTTAGCTATGCCTCTAACAAAGACAGAGATGATGTAGGATTTGCACACTGTGGCTGTCCATTAGTGTACTTAATTATAGGTTAATGAGCCTCCTCTGTGTGTAAGTGTGGATCAGAGGCTTTGTCAGAACCAGCTGTGGAAAACAAAAATCATTCATCCTTCTCTAATCTTTTTAAATGGTTGCTTCTTTGTCTTTATTTTGTTAGTTTCCCCTTGCCTGCACTTAGGCAAGCAACGCTAGCTCTACACCCCAGACTGTTATCCAGAGGCATGGAAGAATGTACTGTATATTCATCCTGGACAGAGCTGTAGGATTTTTGGCACAAAGCATTGGCTATTGCTGTATATACTTATATACAATCTCCAATGGAACAAGATAAACAATTCATCTCCGTGGCACGGAACAATGGGAATCATCTAAATCCCATAGGTGCAAGTGCAGTGGTCGAGCAGTTAAACTATTTACCAGGATAAAAAAAAGAAACATGGCTTAAAGTTTGCACTTGATGTGTTTGACTCTGTTCTATCATCCTGGGATGATACTGCCCATTCCTCAGTGTTTCTCCTCGCACAGCAAGACATGTTTAAAATATCCGAATGAAAAAATGAGAATATATGTTTTTCTTTTGGGATTGAGATGTCATTATAATTTCGAAGGTTGTACTACTGTAGTCCTGTTGCTCACTGGTAAGAATAAACATCCCACAGTAATCTATTGTCCCTGCATCAACAGGAAACCATGAGCAAACCTGACCTGAGTTAATTCAATGACATTTCACTTTAATCATTTCTAAAAACTGGCAGTGAAACAGGTTGGCTTGGTGGTTAGTTGTCCACTGTGTAATCTATAGTGTAGTGACCTCTCCACGGCTGGTGTGCTGTGGTGGGTGAGGATGCAAACACCATCAGGGTGGCTGCTGGGGAGTCCTGCTAACGTCACAGGGGTCTGAAAGGACTGAGCTTTCTTGGGGCACAGGTTCTCAAGTTTACAGACAGTAATTTGTCCTCAGCATTAAACATTGAGTCGCTTAATGAAATCTTTCACATATTTGATAGCAGCAGGCATACAGAGATGAAGGGGGTGGCTGAGTGGAGGATGCAGGGACAGATATCATGTATTCATGCCTTCTTTGTACAGAATTTTCTGATTTGAATATAAAAACCAGATGATGGATTGTATGAAGTTCCTCCTTTTGTAGAGTGGTCATCGGTCAGGATTGGCTCTATAGTTCTTGTGGCGTTAACAAAAACGTTTTTATGAAAACAACACTTTTATGGCCTGAAAAGCTTCTTTTTTTTTTGCTGCAGATTGTAATCTGAGTTGTTCATAATATTAAGAAACTAACCATTGTAGCAGTGTGTGGGGGAGCGTAAACAATCTAAGTACCGCAGCAGATAAAATGATCCAAACCCCTTTTTTGTGATTATTTATTTGTGTTTTAAATGTATAATTGCTCTATGGAGGAGAGCACGTGACTGTATGCGTGGGCAGGGAGCATGGTGAGCCGCTCTTGACTCTCTAAAGGGATGATCTGCAAGGCTGTGATTATTTCATTCAACCATGCAATTGATTTGAGCTTTTTTTTTTTTGCAAGGGGTTTATTTTTTCTGTTTTGTTTGTTACTCAAATGTGTAATACTACCTGAAATATGTTTGTAATATCTTAGGCTAGTACCAAAAAGTTTTAAAATTTTGGTTTTGTGTTTGTTTTTGGGGGGGTTTAATTAATTCATTAAAGACTTTCAACATAAGCCCTTGTTATTGTTATTCAGTAGATATTGACATCCATATGCTTATCATTCTTGCTCAGTAGACAAAACATCTATATGCTTATATCTGTGAAGTAGTTGTAGCAGCAAAGTCACTTGCTGTTATATCTGTGAAGTAGTTGTTGTAGCAGCAAAGTCACTTGCTGTTATATCTGGTATTCTTTGTTATAGTAAGATAATATCCAAATATTTCACTTCCCACACCCGTGTCTACAACTATATAATTTAATTGACATGAATATAACAGCCAATATTTAAGGATCTACTTAATCAACTGTTCATTTCAACAGAATAAAAAACAAAGTTACAAATACACAATACATTCAATATTTAAAGGTCTCCGAGGCTGGATGTGGGGCACGGGTTACGGCGGTGGAGCTGAGCCACCACTCACTGGAGAGGTTGTTTGCTATTTCTGCGGTTGTAGCCGTGATGCCAGATATTTGCCATGACTCGATCCTGCCGCGTCACAGAACTGAAGTCCATTGTCTTTAACTGAGGCAGAGCAGAAATCACTCGATTCCTTCAAACAGAAAGAGACACATTTATATACATGTACTGCAGAGTTAATGTACTTTGTATGTGTCTCAACAGAAAAATTCAGAGGGACTGTTGTGGACGATTCTACATGTTGAACTGGAATGGCAGTCAGTAGATTGTATGTGTCCGCCAAAGCCCAACAGTCCCCTTATGAAACCACAATTATATTCACTACATTCAGATTTAGATATATCCATGATATATTCTCTGAGAAATTAATGTAAATGCTGAAAAACGCCTTGTTAAATGTTAAAGAAAGTAATAATCCTGGATCTGTCCCCTGATCTGGATCTGCAGTTAAATGTAATGAGTTCTTTCCTGACCCATGGAAATCAGTCACGTAGTTGAGCCTAATCTTGTTTAAAAACAAACAAACATACAAACTTAACAACAAATAGATAAAACATTTATTTATTAAGAATTATTACTGTAGTGTTGCAACACATATGCTATAAAATGTGTTGCAACTTATTCAAAAGGTCATTGGAAACTAGCAGCACCTCTTGCTGTGTGTGTGTGTGTGTGTGTGTGTGTGTGTGTGAAGGAGCAGTGTTGCTATGCAGACTAGAATGTGTAATATGAGCTTGATCTGCATTTAAACACCTGTTACAATGTTATGCACCTACATGCCAGCCAGGCATTCACGTCTCTCACACAGTCACACAGTCACAATGTAATCTCACTCTTCTTGCATAAGAGCAGTCTCTCACTCTACAGCCTTGAAGTGATTGACACCACGTTTTATTCTGTTTTTTGGTTCTCAGCAAACTGCCGGCAGCTGTGAGTGTTGTGGTCACTACGCTCAATAAGGTTCTTATTAAAAAGAACCTCAAAACAATGGTTGTAAACGTGTCTCACATCAAAACACAAGCAGTATTTTTGTGTCATGTGTATTCAAGATCATTTGTTGAAATTCAGCCATCACCTGTAAGCTTTGCTGGCTTCTATGGCATTTCCATGTAGAGTGATGGTGTGTAGATGCGGCAGCGCTCCCAGTCTGTCCACCTCTGACAGGATGGAAATGCTGTTACCATGAAGATACAGCACACGCAGCTCAGGCAGCTCACACAAAACCTGGAACACAAGCACGCACATTTACCCATTCTGCAGATGTACATACATGTATACTTTCACAGCACACTGCATCTCTGTATTGCTGCCAGCTTAGCAACAGGAAGGAAAAGGAGAACTCACAGGGTCTATGTGTGTGATTCTGTTGAATGAAAGGTCCAGCCAGGCCAGCTGTAATGGCTCAGCCAGGAAGTGGCAAACAGAGATCTGGAGGTCACCGAGGTCAGAAATGTTGTTGTTATTGAGACGCAGGGAGCGGCTTTGGTACTTCTTCTCTGAATTTCTCTTTAAAGGTCGCAGGCCACTTCTGGGTTCTTCTATCCAGGTATCTGAGACCACAAGAAAGAAATGTCAGTATTGAGAAGAGACACAATAGCTTGTTTGTTCTTATACAAAATTATATTAAGGACACACTCTGCTTCAGGGGAAGGAACTCTTTACTAACATTATAGTGACAATACAGGAAATGAAAAATAGTTTAAAGAGAGTATGGCTGGTCAATATAGCCAGAAATATATCAAGATAAAGATTTTGATATGAGTGTTATATATAATATTGGAATTATCCCAATAAATGTTATGTTCATATTTATTTTAAGTTTGAATACTGACTTTTGCTCCCAGGTGAAGGTTTTAAACTTCTTTATGGACAGAGAATGCCAAACTGTTGATAAACGGCAGAACATTTCACTAATCTGAGGTTAATCAACAATGTGATATACCTCCTCACTGTTATCACACAATGTATAATCTCTCTTTATACTTTTTGTCAAATTACTATTGCTGAAAATGATATTGGGATAATTATGGATATGGTTTTATTGCCCTGTCCTGAATGTGAGGCTGAAAAAACTAAAATATGACAGAGGCAGTTTATTACCTCCCAGACAGCAGATCCGTTTGTAAGATAAATCCACTGGAGCTCCGTACATGGTCTCACCTGTGAAAAACACTCACCTGAGGGAAGACAGTGACGCCATCATGAATTACAGGCGAGAGTTCACAGACGGTAATTTAACAAAAGAAATGTTTTTAATGACTGATTTAATTACGCTGCACACGTGTTTATAAACTACAACACAGGAATAGATCCAACTGAGCCTGAACCCATCAATCATGTCGATTATATTTACAGTTATTGGCTTTTTTTAATGATTCCACATCACACATAACAAACACTCACCCACAGTGGGAGGAAGCTGCTGAGCTGGATTATTTGCTGCAGTTACCTGTCCGAGAAACAAGACGTTTCCAAGGAGACGGGACAGGTACCTTATGGGACTTGTAGTTCAAATATATCATTTAAATAATGAGTCAGTTGAATTGTGCACGGTAACATTGATCACAATGATAAACACGTATAAATGATGATCAGCTAATTCAAATATTGTGTGTGTCACATTTTATCATATGACTGAAGCAGCCCCTGGGAGAGGCTCTGTGGTTTGCTGGATTTTGTGACCGGCTCACACCAGGTTGGCGGAGTCGACACCCAGCCACCATAACAAAGAAGTAACTCCCCAAAGTAACATGAACGGAAACACGAGCTCTAATAGGTGGAACAGTGTGAATTTCAAATGGCTGCAGAGACTATGTAAATGTTGAAAATGTATTTTAGCCTCTCCTCCCCGCTCTCCAGACCGGCCACTCCGGTGTCAATAACGAGCGCTACCACTCAGTTGCCTCCAGAGAATCTAAACCAATCAGGTTCGCCCATTTTCCTGACGCGTCGGTCCGTGAGAGCGGATTGGCTGGTTCAATCTCCACAGCCCTTTTGAATATCCTGGACTGTTTACAGCTGAAGCGGCTTCGTGTGCTCTCAGGGAACAGTCGCTCTTCTCTTCAGAGGACGAACACAAACACAGAAAAGTGGCTGAAGTGTTTCCCTTCCAAGGTGAGTCACTGCGAAATGAGATATTTACCCTTAAAGGCAAGTTCATTTCTGCTTTTTTAGCTTAGCAACGCTAGCTCCTTCAGACTCTTCCTTTTCCTCTTCTAGGTTGAAACCCCCTTGAGATAAAGGGTCAGCCAACATGACGATAAACCTGGGTGTTAAGGCTCTTCTCAGCTGGGTAAGTGGATACACATATTACTTCACTCTCATAATCAATGTGTTGATTAAAGGGAAGTTGTTGCGGTTGTATTCAGCACGAGTTTTCCAACTTTTCCAGGTCAACAGCATCAAACTGTGTGACCGAGAAATCGCCGTAGACGATCTACAAGATGGCTCATTGATCCTGAAAGTGATTTACATGCTGTAAGTTTGAGCACGGAGCAGTGTGTGGAAATGTCTGCTCTGTGTAAACAAGAAGGGCCATTGAATTTACATGGCAGTCTTAAACAAGACTTCTACAGTGAGTATCACTGTAAACCCATTACTCTTGTGTTGCCTTTGTGTCATTTCAGGAAAAAGCAATCCGACCTCTGTTTCAGTCATTCCACTGAGGACCGGTTCAATCTCATTGCAGACTTTGTGGAAAGTGAGTCTCTCTACCTCCTTTGACATCTTCACCTATTACGTTTGATTCTAGTCCGAAGCCAGCTGGTAAATAGGGTGTCACCCCATTTTATCATTCCAGAGTGGCAGATCTTTCCTTCCCCCCACTGATTCCAGTCTTTATACTCACAAAGACTTAACATGTCTCCGAACTGTGCTCACTGTATGCAGTGGAAACCAGTCTTTATCTTTTCATCTGACTGTATAACAGCGAACAAGCATTATGTGTTTTCTTAAGATGTAAGTGTAAACTCACTCCTAGATTAAAAGGCTCCCTCTTTACTAATATCTTCGGGTTGAAAATTTAAAATCTACCTTCAGCCACACCCAACAGTGATGGGTGTGGTCTGAGTTCTGCTCTGTTCCAGCTGTAAATGTGTCACACTGACGCAAACCTTTTCTTTTTCTAAGTCTCTAAATTCTAAGTCAACACTGAATGCTCTTGGCTTCTGAGCATGAACCCATCTCTCTTTGTTTTTCAGGGGATTGCAGATTTAGTGCAGCCAAAGGCTCGTCAATCTCTCTGGGCAACATAAGAGATGGCATCAACCTAACAATAGAAATTGCAAAGGTACAAAGTGACAGAGCACAAATAATTATTAAACCAAGCTTAAGCACAGATGCATTGTGAGCCATTGTTTGTATTATATCACCAGGTGCTGTTGTTGCTCGTATATTATGACATGATGAATGACCGCTGCACTCTGAACATGCTGGAGTGTGATGTGGAGGTGAGCAGAGAGCAGCTGCCTTTTGTAAATTCCTGAGATTCATTTGCTTGAGCGTTGTGCTGTAATGTAACTCTGTGTCACTTCATATTCCCACTCCTATCTGCTAGCGTGAGATAGCAAACCTGACTGGTTCCTTTGTGATGGAGAGCGAAGACTGTGTTTATCTGAGCAACAGGATCGACGCCTATTTAGCAAAGAGACGTAAGTAAAAAAAAGAATTCTTCCATTATTTCATGCCATAACACAAACCTTCTGGTTTATATTTTACACAAGCTGTAAAAAGTTGACACCTCTCTCGCTCTGAATTTAAGATTTGCCCGTCTCCCGTGAGATATTTGAGCGATCAGCAACCACCTCTACCTCCAATGTGTCGACAATGTCCTCGCTGTCAGATGAGGATTCTCCAGTATTCCACCGCACGCAAAAAATCTCATTTGTGGACATGCACACTGTGGCTTCTTCCTCAGTGAGGTAACGATGGCCTTTTGAATTTATCTAAGAAAGAGCTTATCAAATGTGGCAACAATAGCAAAATATTTATGAGCATGCATGCATTAACATGAAGAGGCAGTCACAGAGTTTTATTTTTCTATGGCATAATGGGATAACAACAACACAGTATATTTGTGTGTTGTAGTTAGGAATGCATAAATTAGTTTTTTCTTTATATTTGCATGAAAGCAGTTTAAAACACTATGCTTTCCTAAACTTGATGTAACTAAGAGCTTTGTTGTTAGTCTGACTAACTTTGTGAGGTTGCATATCAAAACATAACACACTTCCTCATAGCCACGCCACGCCGTTACTTCTTCTACATGTGATGTAAGCATTTTAATTATATTTATTAATTTGGCTGATCTGCTTTTCTTCCCACAGCAAGTCTCCGCTCCAGGACATTATGAACACACCTAAATTTCAGGTGAGGGTGATGCAGCGTCAGATGATAAAGGAGCGAGATTACAGAGATGGGTTGGAAAGGGAGCTGGCTAGCAAGCTCGCACTCATTTCACAGAAAGGTACCACATTTAAAATCTTTCTTAACCTTTAACTCAGTTAACCATTAACCTTTAGCTCAGTGTTCAGTAAATGTGTTCTGCAAAATAATAATTTTCGTAATTTTTTATTTGTGTTTTATTTCCTTTAAGTGAAACTTAACTATTGTTGTTTTCTTCAGAGTCTCATGTTAATCAGCTACAATATCGTCTGGATAAGTTGAAAGAAGAGCAAGGCGATCAGGAGGAGATTATCAGGGAACAGATCAATGATCTCGAGACTAAGAACAACACGTAAGATTTGTTTATTTTTTACAGTAAGACCTTTATGATCCCTTTTTATTAATGCATGATAATAATGACACCTTTTACTTCACCTTAAGATTGTGCAAAGTATTAACTTCTATAGACTGTGAAACTTTCCCGAATCAACAAACTACACTTCTGAACAAAAATAAATTTTGTTAAGAAAAGAAAGTACACAGTAATATAATATAAGTAGAACATTTTGAATGCAAAAGAAAAATATGTTTTATTCATCATAACACATTCATAACATTAAGAGTTTGGTGTAAAAGTGATGAAGAAAGTGATTTGCTTTTTCCCCCCCTAGGTTACAAGTGCGTCTTAATGAGATATTGATGAATAACAAAGACCTGAAGAGTACGTCCTCTCTTATGGAGCGTAAAGTGGACGACCTGACAGAAGAAAATGGTGTCCTCTCTTCCCAGGTAATGAGACTAATAAAGTTTTTCAGTTTAATGCAATCTTGTCGTTAATCTTTCACTTATCACATGGGAGAGAAGTCAATAACAATCGTTCAGTTCTTATCCATGAAAGAATAAACAACATATCCTCGAGCTCACATGTACATCACATTACCTAGCGTCACATGTCACAGTTGCCATGGGCTCTTGTTATGCGAATAACAATTTTCAACAGTTTATATATTCAGGCCTATCTTTTTTTTGAATTGGTCTTTGTGCTTCTGTAAATCCTTTACTCATTATAAAAAAGTCTTTGTATATATTTTGTCACAGTAACTAATTGAGACTAAATTGTAACTAAAATTTGATCCATGTCTCAGACTATGTCGTTCTGGGTGTTTGAATCTGAAATGTCCTTAAAATGTGATGTTTAATAATGAATGTGTAGGAATCCTGATGTATAAATAATGAGAAAACTTTGCTGCATACTGACTGTAAAAGCTTTATTTTCTCATTTTCCAGGTGAGAGCAATGTGTTCACAGCTGGCTATCTTCGAGGCAGAAGTTGGCCGACTGACAGAAAGTCAAGCATCATCTCAGGAGGAGTGGCGAAGCGAAACAAGCCACTTACAAAGTGAGCTCAACCAAGCTACTGCTCAAAAGGTAGAACATAGTCTTCCATTGGAGGTGGTGCAGAAACTATGTAATTTGAGAAAATCATGTAAATCTAACAAGAAGGGTTTTAATTTTCTGTGTTATACTCTTTGTTGCTCAGGAGCTTCTGTCTGAACAAATTCAGATCCTCCAGGGAAAGATTTCCTGTTTGGAGGATGAAATAAGCAAAGCCACTAAAGAGGAAGTAGGAGAGAATATGGGGCCTGTGATGGAGGTAAATGTTAAATCAAATATTAGTATAGTTATACCCCAATTTATGTATCATATATTTTTATGTTTTGAATTGACTGTGAATTATCTTTTTTTTCTTAAACTTCCAGAGAGAATACTTGGAGACTGAGATTAACGACTTGAAGAGTGAGCTTGACAGCACATTTAGCTCCCTGAAGCAGGCGGAGGTGGAGATTCAGACCAAAACAACTCAGCTGGCAGAGTACCAGCAAGAAATCACTCAACAGAAAGAGCTCCTGCAGCAACAGAAATCCCAAACGGAGGACATTATTCAAGCCAAGGATGAACTTTTGGAGAAATTGCAGAAGGAGATCACTGAGCAGAGAGCAGCCCTTCACAAAGAGATCCAGGATCTCAAACTTAAACTTGACCAAGTTGAGCAGCAGAAAACTGAGCAGGCGACGAGACTGCAACAGCATGTCGCTGCATGTGAGCGAGAAATTGAAAGACTGAAAGAAATGAAGAGAGAGAGAGAAGACCTTCTCCACCAGACTGAAGAAAAGGTGAAAGATCTGGAGACAAAGTTATCTGCCGCCAGTTCTCTCTTGGCTGATAAGGACCAACAAATTAACAGCCTCAAAGATGAAGTCGATGTTCTCACAGATGAAGCCAAAATAATCAAAGAAGAAATTCAAGCCAAAGAGGAAATGCTCGCCAAAATACTTCTGGAGAAGTCTAATGAGCAGGAAATTCTTCATGATAAAATCCAGAGATTGACGTCTCAAGTGGAAGACCTAAACTCATCTCTCAAACAGGCCGAGCAGGAAATTGAAATTAAGCAAGACCTACTGGCTAAAACCCAACAAGAGAATATTGAACAAAGGGAGAAGCTCCAACAGCAGGTAGTGACCTGTGAAGAGGAGGTTCAGAAACTCAATGCAGAAATACAGGTCAAAAATGAGCAACTTGTAACATTGAAGAATGACAGCTCTCATCAGTCTGGGTTGCTGGAGGAAGAGATTAAATGTCTTAAAGGCCAAGTTGAAATTCTGAATGACTCTCTCACAAAGTCTGCACAGCAGGTTCAGGCACAGCTAGTGATGCTCGACAAGCAGGAGCAAGAGAGTTCACATCAGAAGGAGCTTCTGCAACAACAACTGTCTGCCTCTGAAGATCAAGTGAGGTGCATGATGGAGGAGATCCAAGCTAAAGAGAAACAGATGGACATATTGAAAAATCAAAGTTCCGAGCAGTCAGAACTGATGCAACAAGAGATTGGTGATTTAAAGAAACAAGTGGAGGGTCTTAGTTTCTCACTGAAGTCTGTTGAGGAGAATTTGCAATCCAAGGAGAATCTGTTTGCTGAACAGCAACTGCAGAACACTCAGCACATGGAGGCYCAACAGGCACAGATGGTCACTTCGCAAGATGAAGTGAAGAGGCTGAATGTGGAGATTTGTGCCAGGGAGGAGCAGCTGAGCCAGCTGAAGTATGAGACCTCTACATACTCTGAC